GCTTGGGATCATCAGTCTCTTTATCTGTGTTCACTCTGAGGGGCATGGAGTGGGGTCTCGTTGTGGTCTTAACGACTAGTGATGTTGAGCATCTTTTCACGTGCTCATTTGTCACTCATGCATGCATCTTTGGTGTATGTTTGGTCTTATGCATGTTTTTAATTGGGTTGTTTGTCTTACTACTGAGTTGTATCAGTTCTTCATATATTCTGGATACAAGTTCTTCAGCAGATCCATGATTTGCAATTATTATTATTATTATTTTTTGAATGAAAAGCTTGCCTTTTCATTTTCTTAACAATGTTTTCTGAAAGGGCAAAAGTTTTGCATTTGGATAAAGCACAATTCTTTTGATGTCATAGCTAAGAAACCTTTGCCTAACTCCGGGTCACAAAGATTTTGTCCTATGTGTCCTTCTAGGAGTTTTGTGGCTTTAGCTCTTAAATGCAAGTCCACGATCTAGTCTGAATTAACCGTGGGTACAGTGGGGGACCGAGCTTTCAAGCGTTTGCTTCCACATAGAACAGAGATGTCCCAACCCTTACGGAAAGACAGTCATTTCCCCCAATGAATTACCCTGGAACTTTTGTAAAAAGTCAATTGTCTACACGCATGGGGGTCTCCTTCTGGACCTTCTCTGTTCCATTGATTTACACGTCTATTCCTATACCGACACCACACGGTTTTGACTACCTACGGCCTTATACCAAGTCTAGAAGCCAGCTCGTGTACGTCTTCAACTCACTTGAAACGAAGTCTCCCCGGCTGTGAAGACAGGATGTTGTATTCCATTAATTGGGACCGTCTTTGATTTCTTTCGTCTGTGTTCTGTAGCTTCGGCATATAGAAAGATCTTGCACATATTTTTTGTTAGCTTCATACCTATTTCATGATTTCTTACTGCTAGTTTTAAATAAAACTGTTTTAGAAATTTTCCAGTTGTTCGCTGCAGCTACGTGGAATCGAAATTAGTTTGTGTGTGTGGGCCATGCTTCCTGCAGCCCAGCCCAACTCAACTGTTGTGTTCCAATGGCTTTTTTTTTTTTTTTTAAGATTTCCTAGGCTTTTCTACCTCACTGATCTTGTCATTGGCAAATAAAGACAGTTTTGCTCTTTCTTTTTGAATCTGCCTTTCCTTTCTCTTGCCTAATTGTGCTGTCTGGGACCTCCAGGAGGCAGACTGGGGACTGGGGTAAGGAACGTCACTCTCCTGGGTTTAACGACCGTGCTGTGGTTACAGAAGACGTTCTTACTGAAGGAAGCTATGTGAAGGGGACACGGCCGTGCCGGGCTGTGCTAGCTGTCCAACTTCTACGTGGCTTAAAGCGACTTCAGAATAAAAGCTTACGTGGTGGGAAGAGGTGGAAGCGGACATTCTTGCCTTGGTCCCAGCTTCGGGAGGAAAACAGTCTTCCACGGTGAAGTGTGAAGTTTGCTGTTAAGTTCTTCACAGATGCCCTTTATCAGGTTAGAGAAATTCCTTTCATTTCTAGTTTGCTAAGAGTTTTTTTGTTTGTTTCTTTGTTTCTAAGTCATGAGTGGGTGTTGGATTTTGTCAGACGCTTTTTCTATGTCTTTTGAGATTATCATACGGTTTTTCCTGTTTCGTCTGTTAACGTGCTGAATTACGTTGGTTAGAGAATATTAAACCGACCTTGTATTCCCGGAATAAACCGCACTTGGTCATTAAGCGTTTTCATTTTTCCATGTTGCTAGTTTCAACTGGCTGCATTTTTTGCCAAGGAGTTTTGCGTGGGTGTCCACGAGGGGTGCTGGTCTGTATTTTTCTTTACTGGTAGCAAGTCTGTCTGGTTGTGGTGTCAGGGTAGCGGGGCCCTCAGTCGGGAAGTGGCCCCAGTTCCCCACATCATGGGAGGTTTCGTGTTGGCTTGATGTCTTTTCTCCCTTAAATGTTTTCTACGATTCACCAGTAAAGCCATTTGGACTTAGAATTTTCTTTGTCTGAAGATATTTTATTTTTGCTTTACTTAAAACCTTTTAACAATTTAATTAAGGTATAATTTACCTTGAATTTTATCTACTTAAAGTGCACAAGATGATGGGGTAAACATTTGGAAAGAAATCAATCTTACTTTTGATCACCCAGTTCCGAGATGGCTTTTGGTTTTCTTTTTGCTAGTGACTTGCACACCGGACACACGAGTGCCAGGTGGGCACGAGCTCCTGTGTGAGCCAGTGTATCAGGATGTCCCGAGGTGGGCAAGGCTGCTTCCCCGCGCCCTGGGGCTTCATCTGCAGGCCCTTTCCTGTCCCTCCTCGGGCCTCCACCCACCTCACTCCCCTGGAACTGCCAGGAACAGCACGTCCTCCGCGCTCAGGCCCTGGCCGCCCTCCAGGCCTTTTTCCTTGACCTCCCTGCAGTGTTGGACAGTGACTCTCCTCCCCCCTCCCCCCGCTGGTCCGGTTGGGTTCCCAGCAAGAAACTGACAGCTCTAAGCAAAGATAATCTAAGATGGGGACTGTTTACAAGGCGTGGCACCTGGAGCTATGACCACTGTCAGGCCGGAAGAGACAAGGGCAGCAGAGCCCAGGCCGGGGGACAGTGTGCCGAGGGCGCTGCCCTGTGAATGTGGGAATCGGGGACTCCCGGCTCCCCGTTCCTCTCTTCCCTCCCAGAGGCGCTGTCGAGGTTCCCTCACGCAGGTCAGCCTCTGGGGACATAGAGCAGGGCAGGGTCAGGGTGGGTCTGCAGAGACAAAGGCGGGGGGCTACGGGCTTTTGTGACACTGAACTCTCCTGGTCTCCCCCTCTGATGGCCATTCCTCCCCCGGCTCAGGCCCCTTCCTTACCAGTCCCTCCTTCCCTCCGGTGACCCTGAAGCTCCCCCGCAGGGCTCTGCATGTGCTTTCAATGGCCCGGTGTTCCTGCAGACTCCTCAGACCGCTCCAGGCCCCTCCCTTGGGGGAGCAGCCACGGCGGTGAGCGGGGCTGGCTTCCTGGGACCCCTACCTGTGTGGATTCATTCTCTCTCGCTACCTCCCTTTCACAGGTGGGGACGCTGAAGCGTAGAGGTCAGACGATCCGGCCAAGGCCCCACGGTCAGAAAGGGCCAGAGCCAGGACGGGACCCTGGGAGGGACGCCCGTGCCTCCAGGCTTAGCCACAATAGCCGGGAGCAGCCTGCAGAGCATCCGGCTGATCCGCTCTCTAGCAAGCCTTCCCGTCTGGGGAGGGGCCCGTCCCACGAACTCCAGGGTGCACTGGCCATCCCGTCCCAAGAGCTCTTCCTGTTTGCTCTTTGCCAGGAGCGACCCCCCACCCGACAGCGCAGAGCGCATCCTTCAGGGGGGCAGGTGTGTCAATCCCCTTCTAGCATCCCCAGATCCCCAGCATCCCAGAGCCCACAAACACCAGGAGACAAAGAACTCACAGTCCCTCTGGCACTTTATTGTTTATAAAACAAAGGCTCCAGTAGCAAGGACACAATCGTTTTGCTTACAGCAGCGGATACGGAGGGGACAAAGTCTAGCTTTGAAATATTTGAAAACCCCCGACTATGTGAACATGCCACCTCTGGGCCCCCAGGCCACGGCTGAGGCCCCAGCGTTAGCCTCAGAAAGACCTCCCCTTGGCGACTGTCCCAAGTCTGCCCTTCCTAATTTCATGTCTGTATTTCTGAGATCACGCAGCCCTAACGTCAGTGCTGTCTGTCAAGGCGGCGGGGCAGGGAGCCCAGCGGGAAAGGTCGGAAGAGGCCAGGCCGGTAGGAGCCGAGTTCTAGAGAGATGTGTCCGTCACAGGCACCAGCGTTTCCCCTTCCCGCGCCGAGTATCACGTGAGCAGTGGAGGGAAGAGGGGGCGCTCGCTGGGGTCCTTCCTCATGGCGGGGCAAGTCTGTGAGACAGGGGTCCACACAGCCACTGCCAGAGCCAAAAAGATGGCCCTTCACGGGCCACTGCGGCTCCCTCCGCTTCTTCTGAGGGCGAGGTAGCTTCTGGGCGAGGGGCCCTCCTCAGCTGTGGTCCTGGCTGAGCCGTGTCCTAAACCCTCTGCCTTTACCCTGGAGCACGGAGACGCGGTCACAGGGACTAAGACAAGCCACAGTTTGCGTGAAGACTTTCCACGGAGAAGAGGCTGCGGAACTCCCAGAGGGGAGAGGGGAGATAAAGGGCCAGGGGCGGCGCAGGGCCAGGCTGGCCTTGTCCGCAGCCACCTTGGCCAGAGCGCAGAGGGCCCCGGAGGTGGAGGCCAAGGTCTCGCCTGAAGGGAAATGAGATTCAAGTGGTTCACGGAGGTCTTCGAAGGCACAGCGAGTTCTGTTGCCAGAGGCATGTTTTCTTTATCTCTGCATCGTGCCCTGGCCAGGGGCTCACAACCCTTCAGAACCGGCGTGACGCACCGTAGGTGCACCATCCCCACCCTCTCCAGGGCCCGGAACGGCTGGGACCTGCGGGGCTCAGCCTGTGTGATAAGACGGGGCCGTTCCCTTCTGTCAGGAAGGAAGTTGCTTTAAATGAAATAAGTTAATAATGAAAACTTCGAAGTGCTATGTAGGCACGGAATTTTCCTGAAGGGAGGAAAGGGAACCGGTCGTGTGGAATGCGGACTGCTGGGCGTGAGGCTTGGGGACAGATGCTGGGCCAGCACCCTCTCCTG